ATTTTGGCCCTTGATTCAAAAGAGTTACATTGGGACCGGGTGGCATGATGGTTAAGGGCGCTGGACTCCCACATGGCCGATGGCCGACTGTGATTTGAATCCTGGACCTGACTGTTTGCTCCCTTCACCCCCCAACCCCTGCCCCGTTTTTCTATGTTCAAATTAAAATAAATAATTAAAGTTAAATAAAATAATTCTTTAAAGAAAAAGAATTGTTTTTATAAGCCTTATTAGTTCACTAAATATTTATTGAGCTTTTATTGAATTCTAGGCTTGTCTCAGTGTTTAGGATATTGAGAAGACTAAAGTTTATTCCCTAGTTCTTAACTCAGATTATGAATCAGAATGACCTTGGGAATTTTCTGAGCATAATCTTTGTTTTTTGTCTTTTCATTTTTAATCCTTCCCATGGAGATTCTTATTTAGTAAGTATGAGATGGATCCTGTGGAACCGTCTATTTTAAAAGTTCCACAAGTGATTCTGATTAACAGTCCTCGTTGAAAACAGTGAAAGCCACCCCAGGACCAACCTGTTCTGAAACAGATGCCCAGAGGTGATATGACACAACACAATTTTTCTTATGATAACTCTCTTTAAAGGGTGTTATATATCCTGAGAATGTCTGAGTTCACTTAATAACATACAGATTTGAGTCATAGTATTCGTGATTCAATTCTAAACCTTCACTCAGTGTAATAAGTTCTATAGAATTTACCTACCAGCCTCGTAAATAGTATGCATTTTGCTTTTTTCTGAAGTTCCTTAAGCATAATATTCTAGAACTCTACATGCTTATCTTTAGTCTTCCTGATTTTATAGATGCTTATTTAAAAATGGAAATTCTGCTTTCTCTCCCCTCTTTGTCTCTTGACAGAGAGATGTTTCATGTTGGTGTTTGTTAACAGGAATTTTTGATAGCCGTATAAAATATAACTCTATTACTTTTAAGTCTGACATTAGAGATACTTCTGCTTTAATCCTAAAATGCAGTGTTTTGGAGGATTGTGTCTTGTCTGAATAAAGTTGTAGGACTCCCACTTCTCAAGACATTTGCCTTTATAGAAAGGGATGAGAATTAAATGACTTAGGCTCCAAGTTACTCAAGCAAGTCACCTTACCTCTTGTTATTTCATCCTTCATGTAAAATAATAAAAACCAGCCTACTTCTTGAAACTGAAGAAGATATAGTGAAATAGTATGCTAATATTTTGGTAGGATACATAGTTTTATATTTAGACACTTTAAAAAATTTATTTTACTTAATTTTATTTATTATTTAAAAATATTATTTATTTATTATTTTAATTTATTGATTTATTTATTTTAATTTGACCAGAATGAGATACAGAGAGAGAGAGAGAAGGACAGTGAGAAAGCAAGCCACTAGGTCTGAGACTCAAACCCTGTTTGGCCATGTGGGAGTGTACAATGCCCTAACCATTATACCACCCCTAAATTTTGACAATCTTGATGCTAAACTACAGTTCTTCTTCCTCAGATAATCTGATAGTGGAGGAAGCAGTGCAGGAGCTGAATTCCTTCCTTGCTCAAGAGAATATGAGGCTTCAGGAATTGACAGACCTCCTTCAGGAAAAACATCATACCATGTCTCAGGAGGTACTAACTAGAAAGGAGAGATGACTGTTTCTAGTTGTCTTACTTTGTCTGATTTTTTTTTTTTTTTTCTTTTAAGAACATACAGGGCTCTGAGAAATAAAAATCTGAGGAAAGGTTAAGGAAAGAAGGAAGTAATTGAGTGTTTCTCCTCAATGACACCTTTGCTTAAGTAGACGTTTAAGGATCTTAGTCTTTAGGAAGAAATGCCATTATGTAGAATTTTATGAAACACAAAAACTGTATGCCCTCTGTTAATGAACTACCTCAAATATAAAAAAACCCAGTGAGTATAGTGTTACTGAGGAATGTCTTGGCAGAAATTGAACAGAATGGGATAGTAGGAACTACTGCATATATAATATCCTAGGAACGTGAGGAATTTCTTGTTAGTCCATATCTGGGCACAATTAGGGTCATGACCAAACCATGCCAAGAATTGGGTATTTATTTACACAAAGGGAATGTGTTAAAGTGCTGGTAGGCTTAGAACACTCTTCCAATACTACTGATTGGCATGGTTTAGTTCAAAGGATACTCCACTGAAATTTGACTTGCCAGAGTTTGACTACCAAACTCTCATGCTGATTAGTAATTTAATAGTTACCTATTTACTTAGTCCCTAGCATTTAAGTACTTTATGAATATTATCTCTAATGACAAAACAACTGTCATGTTACTGCTAAGGAAATAAATTCAGAGACGTTAGTGACGAGTCTGAGGGTACATAGCTAGAAAGTAATTGAGCTGTTTTGAATGTAGGTCTGTTTAACTTCAAAGCCCATGTTCTCCATATTCCTCTGTTTCTTAAACGTTGGAGTTAAGGTCCATGCTTGGCTGGTTGCATGAGACTCATCTGAGAGTTTATTAACACATGGATTTTCATGGACCTTTAGTGTTCAAGTATAGCAGCAGCACTTATACCTAAACTAGAATATAGCAAATAAATCATAGCCTTCTGTCATGTTATGAGACATCAACTAGGTGCTATTATAAAGATGGAAAGGTTTTCCTTTTTTTAGCCCTTCAGTTAGTGTTATGAAGCTGGAGGGCACATTGTTTTGCTTAAGTGGGAACTACCCAACGTGGCTGCCGTGGTTGGCTGTTTATGTCCTATCAGCTCACCTTAGTTGTCTGCTGGAATTCCTGCAGTTGCCTCTATAACATGCAGTCTTAGGGTAGTTGAACTTGTTATGTGGCAGCTGACATCTTCTGATGGGTATCCCAAGATCAGGCAGAGTCTACATGCCTTTTTTAACATAGTCTTGAAGTTGACCCTAACCCCACTCAAATAATTTGGGGACCCTGTTTTAAAACTAACAGAAAGGGTATGTATAGATTAATAGGAACATGTAATAGTTTTATAATTAAAAGTATTAAATAGTATTAAGTGTTGTAAAGGTCCTAAATAGAGAACAGTTTAACTTTTGTGTCTTTTTAGTATCTGATTCTAAATTGCTCTGGGGTCAATTTAAAGAATGTTCTATGTAGATTATCATTTGTTGGCAGAGAAAGTTGGGGCTCAAGATGTCTTTTTGAATTTTTCTAAACATTCGATAAAATAAAGGATATCTTGTCTCTTAAAAATACACATTTTTCTGATAGATTTGTAGGTCTGTCTATAGAAATGGTGCTTTTCAGAGGCATACAATTAGTGACTTATAAGTGGTCTTTTCCTTATGTGAAAGTTTTTACAGGCATCTTTCATTTTTGTGATTGTCACTCACCTAGACTGCTAAAACAATCTGTGAAATCAGTTTTACACTCATATACTGGGAAAAAAGTGATGCATCTTCTACTTAAATCTTTTCTATAATGAGAGTAAGCAGTGGTTTTAACTTTGTGGAGATTGAAATGTAAGCTTGTGACATAGATATTTCTTTTATGAAATATTTTTTCTGAATGCCTGTCGTTGGGATGTAGTTCTCCAAGTTGCAGAGTAAAGTGGAGACAGCTGAGTCACGAGTGTCTGTCCTGGAGTCCATGATTGATGACCTACAGTGGGATATTGACAAAATTCGAAAGCGGGAACAGCGACTCAACCGACACTTAGCAGAAGTCCTAGAACGGGTCAGTGCTGTTTTATTGTATTACAGTTTGGAACCTAGAATCGTTTTTGAGGCTTCATGGAAAGGATCAACTTGAGTAGTAGAGAAAACTGACACTTTGAAAGCATATTAGTTATCAGACTGTAATCATAGAGTTTCTTGCTGAAGAATCTTTGTTTTTTTCTGTAGGTGAATTCAAAAGGTTATAAGGTATATGGAGCAGGGAGCAGTCTCTATGGTGGCACCATCACTATCAATGCCCGGAAGGTAAGTTAGTGATCTAGTCAGGACACAGTTTTTGACCTGATGTCAGGGCTTGTGCCTTGGGACTTAGGGTTGTGTTCACAAGGTTGCAAAGTGGGATTTTGTGAGAAGAGTGGTTTAGTAAATATGGGAAGCTTAGAAGTGGAACTCTTTTTCTTTATTCTCATTTTGCTGTCTTCCTACATCTCCCTAGTTTGAGGAAATGAATGCAGAGCTTGAGGAGAACAAAGAGTTGGCTCAGAACCGTCACTGTGAACTGGAGAAACTTCGGCAAGACTTTGAGGAGGTCACTACACAAAATGAAAAGCTAAAGGTAGGGGGCACATCTCTAGAGGGCAGTAAATTAAGACTTTGTTGATGAACTCACATACATTCTTGTGAATCTGTTATTTATAAGGAAAAAGAAAAATAGACAGCATTCACCTTCCTTCATGACAAAAACTCAACAAAAGGCCATTTATGACAAGCCCACACATAATACTCAATGCCGAAAAGTTGAAAGGTTTGTCTCTGAGCTCAGGAATAAGACATTCTTGCCTTTTTTATTCAGCATAGTACTGGAAGTCCTAGCCAGACTATTCAAGCTAGAGTAAGAAATGCTGGGTTGTCGGAAAAGTCATGACACATTTTTGCATAGCAAGACAGAAAAAATATGTCATGACTTTTATAACAACCCAATATAAGGATGCCAGATGGGAAAGGGAGAAATGAAATTGTCTCTGTTTGCATATGACATCTTATATGTAGAAAACACTGATGACTTCACCCCCAAACTGGTAGAACTATAAATTAATTCAGTAAAGTTGCAGAATACAAAATCAGCATACAAAAATTAGTTGTTTCTATACACTACCAACAAACTGTATGGGGGGAAAAAAAAGAGAATGATCCGATTTGACTATAGCATCAAAATACAACAGCAACAACAATAAAAAACAAACCTTAGAAATAAATTTAACCTAAGAGCTAAGAGATCTGTACACTGAGTGGATAAAGAAAATATAGTATAGATAGGACCAGCAGTTAGCCTAATGGCTATGTTGACAGTGGTTCAAGTCCCAGACCCAGTGGTTTAAACTCACCGCGGACACGTGCGTATGCGTGTGCTCAAGATCCCGAGAGGAGAATGGAGGAGAAGGGATTGCAGTGTGGCCATCCCCCTGGGGGGGTGATTTCTCGCTTTCTGTCTCTCTGTCTCTCTCTGTCTTTCTGGCGAGTGCACGCGCCCTATAGCAAAAACTTCTCCAAAAAGAAAGAAAAAGAAAAGAAAAAAAAAAATCACAAAAGAAAATATAATATAGATACACAAAGGAATACTGTTTTCTTCTATAAAAAAAGAAAGCATATCATTTGTGACAGCCTGCACCGATAGTATGCTAAATGAAATAAGCTGGACACAGAGACAAAAAAGAAGTTGAGTTCATAGAAGCAGAGAGTAAAACGATTATGAGGGAGTAGGTGATGTGGGCAATGGGGATAGCATCCAAAATTTCAGGGTGAATAAATTCTGGAATCTAATATGCAGCATTGTGACTATAGTTAGTAATGCTATATTCTATGCTTGAATATGTTAAGTAGATCTTAAATGTTTTCACTACACAAACAGTAACTGAGGTGATACATTAATCAGTTTGATTGTGGTAATCATTTCACAACATAAATGCTTACCAATTACCTGTGTCTCACCTTATTCTGAAAAGGGTTTAAAACAACCTGTACAGGTCTGTAGACTAAATATGCTCTATCTTAAAAGTTATGAGGAATAGGGTAAAGTAGGCTGAGATTCTGAATGGATTAAATAAAAATTGGGCATACGAAATATATGCAGGAGCCTGGATATACTGAGGGCGGGTAGGCCATTCACGTGTCCATCACCCAGTGGTGGGCCACAGATCTGGCCCTGCAGTTTCCCACTGCTGAAAAACAGCAGGCAGTACCATCCGTGATCCTGCCAATTTTTTTTTTGGAGAGGTTTTTCCTATAGGGTACATGCGTTTGTCAGAAAGACAGAAGACAAGACAGAAAGCGAGAAATCACCCCCCGGGGGGGTGGCCACGCCGCCATCCCTTCTCCTCCATTCTCCTCTTGGGATCTTGGGTATGCACACACACATGCCCGGTGTGAGTTTAAGCCACCGGGTCCGGGACTCGAACCGCGGTCAGCTACATGGGAGTTCAGCAACATAGCCATTACACTAACTGCTGGTCCCAATCCTGCCAATTTTCAAACTTGTTAGAACTTTCCTTCTTTAGGGTCTTTAAAATAAGCATCCTAACAGATATTATAGGTCTCTTCTCCTGGTGGTTCTAGTGTCCTTGGGTCCAGTTTGACACAGTGTAAAGCACATATCAAGACAGTTTTTTTGGGAAAAGAATGCAGTGTATCCAGGATATATCCACTGCTTGGGTGATCTAATTTGGGCTATAATTTACGTAACTAGAGGAATGGGTAGATAGACTTCATAACTTTTACAAAGATCATTTCAGTTGTGCAGGATATTGGTGAGTTTAGAATTTTATTTCTTGGGTAGCATCTGGGGCACAGATGCTAGGTTTTGCTTTTCCCTTTCTTTGGTTCCTCCTAAGGTGGAATTGCGGAGTGCTGTGGAAGAAGTGGTTAAGGAAACTCCAGAGTACCGCTGCATGCAGTCACAGTTCTCGGTCCTCTACAACGAGAGCCTACAGTTGAAAGCACACTTGGATGAGGCTCGGACCCTGCTTCATGGCACCAGGGGAACCCACCAACGCCAGGTTGAGCTCATTGAGGTAACAGCATTGCTTCATGTTCTGTGTACAAGCTTCACCTTGGGTCGGTGTACAAAGATGAGATGACAGAATTCCTACCCTCCAGGATATTCTGTCTAGGGAATAAGAGTGTCCATTAGAATGCAATGTGGTACAATAGCAGCATATAGACAAAAAATACAGTGATAGACGAGACAGAGCTTCTGATTTGACTGTGGGACCTTCCTGATTCCACTTGAGAAAATGAAGTATGAAGCTTAAGGATAAATGCAGGTTTATTGTTAGTTGAAAGGAGAAGGACATTTCCAGTAGAGAGAACAGTATGTATGAAGATATGAAGGATAGTTTCATGTGGCTGGAGCTAGTCTAGCAGTTGGCCTGGACATTAAGGTGACTGGAACCCACATGACTGGTTGTGTGGTTTGAGTCCCAGACCTAGTGGCTTGAAAATTACACTGGGCACATGTGCGTGCATGTCCAAAGTCCTGATAGGACAATGGAGAAGGGATTGTGGCATGGCCATCCCCCTTTGGGGTGATTTCTCACTTTCTCTACCTCTGTCTCTCTGTCTCTCTTTGGTGAGCACACACCCTGTAGTAAACTAAAAACAACAACGTGTGTGTGTGTGTTTGTGTATGGTGTGTGTGTATATATATGTGTGTACGTGTGTGTATATGTGTGTGTATGTGTATACACACACAATATATATACTATATGTATATACACATGCACACACATATACACACATGCACACATACATAAGCATAATGGCTGGAGCTTATGTATATGAGGGAAAATAGTGGAAGCAGAATCATTGCTTACATGCCATTATAGCATATCACGGCACCTGTATATAATTTCTTTTTTTAAAATAATTATTTATTTAATTTTATTTATTAACATTACTATTTTTAAATTTGCTTTAGGGCACATGAACTCATCAGAGAGAGAGGTAAGCAAGAAAGTAAGCCACCAGGTCCAGGACTTGAACTATGGTCAACTATGTGGAAGTCCCGTGCCTTAACCACCATGCACTTGCTAGCCCTGTATAATTTTTTTTTTTGGAGAGATTTTTGCTATAGGGCATGTGCACTCACCAGGAAGACAGAGAGAGACAGACAGAAAGCAAGAAATCACCCCCCAGGGGGGATGACCATGCCACAGTTCCTCCTCCTCCATTCTCCTCTTGGGATCTTGGGCATGCATGCACATGCATCCGGCGTGAGCTTAAGCCACCGGGTCCAGGACTTGAACCGTGATCGACTACATGAGAGTCTAGTGACATAGCCATTATGCCAACTGCTTGTCCCAACCCCGATATAATTTTGTAAAAGGCAGAAATTTATTCATATATTGAGTTTTGATTGCCCATGGTGCTTAAGGTAACATTTGTAGTATAGTCATGTGTCCCATAGTGATATTTTGGTCAATGACAGACCATATATTATGGCAGTCCCATAAGGAACAGATAGATTATACTATCATACATAGCTTAGGAGTGAAAAAGAAATGTGTGATTGTAGTTTTTTCTGATATGTGCCAGCCAAGTGATTTGTATGCTACTTTACATATGCTTTTGTGCTATTTTTTTTTTTTTTTGAGAGGTTTTTGCTATAGGGTATGTGTGTTCACCAGACAGACAGAGACGGGAGAGACAGAAAGCGAGAAATCACCCCCCAGGGGGGATGGCCACGCTGCAATCCATTCTCCTCCGTTCTCCTCTTGGGATCTTGGGCACGCATGCACATGCGCCCGGCATGAGTTTTAAGCCACTGGGTCTGGGACTCAAACTGCGGTCGACTACATGGGAGTCCAGTGACATAGCCATTACGCTAACTGCTGGTCCCAGCTTTTGTGCTATTTCAGTTTAATTTTCCAATTAAATTGTAGTATTCTTAGCGTTCATGGCTATTTCCTTTATTTCTTCAGTATCCCTCCAGTGTCCAAATAAATAATTTGTAGCTATTTGTTATTCATTGAGTACTGATCGAATGGAAATTTTCTGCGTAATCTGTTCTTGGCTTTATTTATTTTGGTCTTTTTGATCCTTATAGATCAGATTTAGGAGACTGATGAATAGAATATGATATTTATACATTTTAATAATAATTCTTGATTTTTTTTTCTTTGCGTAGCGAGATGAGGTTAGTCTTCATAAGAAGCTGAGGACTGAAGTGATCCAGCTAGAAGATACCCTGGCCCAGGTCCGGAAAGAGTATGAAATGCTGAGAATAGAATTTGAACAAACCCTCGCTGCCAATGAACAAGCAGGTATAATTCTCACTCCACCCTGGAGTTTGTCTGCTGTAATTGCCTTGAAAGCTATTTTATTTTCTATATATATTTTTTTGACTCAGGTTGACTAGTTTTGTTTTCATTTTCTGGGAAGGAATCTTTCTTTCAGTAATTCTCCCTATTTCTAAGAGGTTCCTGATGTGTCCTGCACTTTCTCTCTTGGTGCCTTTGTCCATGTCACAGTTCCTTATAACCGTGCTGTTGCTGTATTTAAGGCCCTATAAACCGGGAGATGCGCCATCTCATCAGTAGCCTCCAGAATCACAATCACCAGCTGAAGGGGGAGGTCCTGAGGTATAAGCGGAAACTGAGAGAAGCCCAGTCTGACTTAAATAAGGTAACCAGGAGGAGAATAAGTGTCATTTGCTATTAAATTTGTAAAGCGGTTTTTGAGTGAGATAGACAGGGTGGTCACCATAAGCCATGTGCATTTTTTCTCTCTTTGTTCTAGACACGTCTGCGTAGTGGCAGTGCTCTCCTACAGTCTCAGTCTAGTACTGAGGACCCGAAGGACGAGCCTGCAGAGCTAAAACAAGACTCTGAAGAATCATCCACCCAGTCCTCAGCATCCAAGGCATCTCAGGAGGATGTCAATGAAATGAAATCCAAACGGGATGAGGAAGAGCGAGAACGAGAAAGGCGAGAGAAGGAGAGGGAGAGAGAAAGAGAACGGGAGAAGGAAAAGGAGAGAGAACGCGAAAAACAAAAACTGAAAGAGTCAGAGAAAGAGCGAGATTCTGCTAAGGATAAAGAGAAAGGAAAACACGATGATGGAAGGAAAAAAGAAGCAGAAATTATCAAACAATTGAAGATTGAACTCAAGTAAGAGCACCGTGTAGAGTAACTGGTTCTGATTCAGAAGTTAAGGTTTGAACATCATGTGTGAAATGTTTGGTTATATCGTGGCTTCTCTGAGTATTAGAATATTTTAGCTATAATTAAACGTACAGTTAATGTGGTCTCAAATCTGGATCAAGTGAACAGTCAAAACAGCATGCATAGCTACTATATAGTATGGTTCAGAGATCAAGTATCAGTTGACCCCATGGCTGTGGCTCTATTCTTCATGAATTCAAATTTTGTCATGCTTGAAGTAATATTCTTGAGAATTACTGGAAACGACTGTTGCTGTTTATTAGATTTAGGCAGATTGCTGACATTAATTGTTTAAATTAAATTAAATTAAATATAGCACTTGCTTACTCTGATTTGAACAGTATCTGATCTGTTTGCTGAGAGTAAACTAGCTCATGGTTATGCCTAATCATTTTAAGAGATTTGTTGGGAGGTTTACTCCTACAGCTATTGAAATAGTAAGATAGACCTTAATTCTTAACCAGTGAAACTTGATCTTTGTCATAATTTCTTATGTTGCCCCTCCTCCTATATGACCAATGTCTTCTCTGGTAGAACTGGTTATTTCTTTTTTTTTCTTGGTCAGATTTTTGCTGTAGGGAGCATGCGCTTCCTGGAGAGACAAAGAGAAAGGGAAAGTGAGAAATCACCCCCCAGGAGGGATGGCTACACCACAATCCCTTCTCCTCAAGTCTTCTCCCAGGATCTTGGGAGAACTGGTGACTTCTTGCTTCCTATTACTTATGGTGAACCCTTTGTTGATGTTTGGATTTGAGGGACCACTGTGCTCAAAATGCTTGAACTCCATTGATATGTAAAAGTACAGTTAAGTATAATAATTGAGTAAGAGATGAAACCTTGAAACCTTTTTGTTCAGCTGATGGTTAATCATTCAACTATTAATATTAAATCTAGCATTTGCATTATGTTTTCAACTTTCCTGTTTTTATCTTTTTGACCCCTTTTAATGGATTTTTTTTTTTTTCAAGTGGAGGATCAGAATTATCTGAGTGACTTTTTTCTTTTTTTTTTGAGAGATTTTTGCTATAGGGTGTGTGTGCTCTCTGGAGAGACAGAGAGACAGAAAGTGAAAAATCAACCCCCTGAGGGATGAACACACCACAGTCCCTTCTCCATTCTCCTCTTGGGATTTTGGGCATGCACACACTGTGCCTGATCTGAGTTTTAAGCCACCAGATCTGGGACTCAAACTGCAGTCGACTATGTGGGAGTCCAGCGATGTGACCATTCTGCCATCTGCTGGTCCCCTGAGTGACTTTTTAAAATACATTCCTGGACCCTATCCCTGAACTATTAAATCTCAGTATCCAAGAGTGGGGCCACAGAAATGTGCTTGTGTAATAAAAACTATAAATGTTTATTTTATAACTTTTGTATCTTTAAGATTTTATCTAAAGGGACAAATGATTCATTTATATAGCTTGCTTTTCTGTACTTTCTGAGTTTATCTTGAAGTTTATCAAGTCTCTTGATAGTCTGTTTAAAAATTTGACTTTTAGATATGCTATAAACGTGAAGTAAAACTTGAAAAATATTCAAATATTCTGCTCAATTCAAAATGCCCTTGTTCAGATGCCCTTTGTTTTCTCATTATATTGTTCCCCTTTTTATCTCTCTGCTGTCATAGGAAGGCACAGGAGAGCCAGAAGGAGATGAAACTGTTACTAGATATGTACCGCTCTGCCCCAAAGGAACAGAGAGACAAAGTTCAGTTAATGGCAGCCGAGAAGAAGTCGAAGGCAGAGGTAATCTAGTCTGCTGTGCCTGTCATTCTGGTGAAAAACTTCATTTCCTTTCATTGCTTTTCCTCGATACTTTTCAAGGTGTTTCTTTATTTTTAAAGTTATTGTTTAATTCAGCAAATTTTCCGCCCTTTCAAAAACCATCTAAAGTAGGGATTTTAGGATTTTCCACAAGGTGCTTATATATATATATATATCAGAATTACTCAGAGCAGGAGTAGCTTTTTCAAACATTTTAGTGCTCGCTTTAAAATACTGCTACAGTGATTGTCTTTTTCTGATTGCTCTTGGGAGGGATATCTTTTTTTTTGGAGAGGTTTTTTGTTTGTTTGTTTTTTGTTGTTGCTATAGGGTGCGTGTGCTCGCCAGGAAGACAGAGAGAGACAGAGAGACAGAAAGCAAGAAATCACCCCCCAAGGGGGATGGCCACGCTGCAATCCCTTCTCCTCCTTTCTCCTGTCGGGATCTTGGGCACGCATGCACACGCGCCCGGCGTGAGTTTAAGCCACCGGGTCCGGGACTCGAACCGCGGTCAACTACGTGGGAGTCCAGCGACATAGCCATTACGCTAACTGCTGGGAGGAATGTCTTATACTGTTAAAATTTGGGGGGGAAAAAAGGAATAGTACCACTGTTCAAAAGAAAGGTAAGTTTATACAATTCAGAAATATTGTTCCTAGAAGTATGTAATATTGGAATGAAGTTATATTAAAACAATGTTTAATGTGGTATATTAGTATGTCATTTATCCATAGTTCTATAAGGGTTATTTTGGTGTTATGGTTCCTCTATCTCTGCATGGTATTAATTTTAAAAAAAGTTTTATAGTGTAGCCTGTGTTTCTATGTGATTCCTTTTCTCCTATAGTTGGAAGATCTAAGGCAGAGACTCAAAGATCTAGAGGACAAAGAAAAGAAAGAGAACAAGAAGATGGCTGATGAAGATGCCTTGAGGAAGATTCGGGCAGTAGAGGAGCAGATAGAATATCTGCAGAAGAAGCTGGCCATGGCTAAGCAGGTGGGCACATTCGTTTATTTAATTGAATTCGTAAATATTAAATATTACTAGACAAGTTACTGCCAGTAAATTATTTCCCTTTTTTTTTTGTTTGTTTGTTTTTATATGAAGTCTTTCATCTTTTCATTGTTTTGTTTTGTGTATTTGTGAATAGGAAATTTCAAATGGATAGCCCATTGTTTAAGTACTGTTTATTGAGGACTTTTCTTTGCTGACCTGGAAACGGGATATAGTAAATATAAAATGAAAAAGAGAATAAAAAATTGTATGCACATTATGATTATAGATACATGAAAGTGACAAAACTATGCTTCCCAAAATAAGTTATAAATAAATAGCTAGTATGTTAACTATGATTTCTGGATCAGGGAACTATAAAACTACAGTTCTTATAATGAACATGTATTTCTTTATTTTTAAGTTCCATTGAATTTTTATTAACATTCAATAATAAGACCAAAAATAGTTGGAAATACCATGTATTTGTTCATTGCTAGGAGTGCCTTCATTGTTTTAAGAACAATAAAATGATAAAAATGAGGTTAGATAGTTTGAATGGTTTTCTGAACATTAAACACTTTGGAAAGAATATGTCATTAGATCCTATATATCTTCCTTTTGTTAAATGCAGAATTTTGTTTTTTCTTAAATCTAGTGATTACTACTTTCTTATTTTTAAAGTAATTACCAGGAAACTTTACTATTAGTAGATTCTACAATAGAAAAAGTGGAAAGAAAGACATACTATGTTCCAACTAGGATGACTCAAGATAAAAGTGTTACTTCTTCCTAAGTTAATATCTGAAATTAATGTGATACCAATGAGGTCTCTCCAGAGGTTAAAACATAAAGTTTTAGTAGGTAAATAGATTGTGACTACTAGACAGACTATTAGAACTGAGTAGAAAATCCAGAAATAGATCCCAGTACTCATGAGTATTTAATATATGCTAAAGATACAGTTTTTAATCAGTGGGGAAAAGGAGGTTAATTGTAGTGGGGCAGAAATTTTAAAATTTGGATACACAGTTTAACACTTTACCCTGGGAACCAGCAGTTAGTGTAATGGCTATGTCGCTGGACTGCCACGTAGTCGACTGTGGTTTGCGTCCCAGACCCGGTGGCTTAAAATTCACACCGGGCGTGTGTGCATGTGTGCCCAAGATCCCGAGAGGAGAATGGAGGAGAAGGGATTGTGGTGTGACCATCCCCCCAGGGGTGATTTCTCTCTTTCTGTCTCTCTATCTCTCTCTGTCTGTCTGGCGAGTGCATGTGCCCTATAGCAAAAAAGAAAAAAAAAAAAATCCTCTCCAAAAAAAAAAAAAAAAAAAAAAATCCTCTCCAAAAAAAAAAAAAAAAAAAAAAATCCTCTCCAAAAAAAAAAAAAAAAAAAAAAATCCTCTCCAAAAAAAAAAAAAAAAAAAAAAATCCTCTCCAAAAAAAAAAAAAAACAGAAAAGAACTTTACCCTAGGATTATTTCCAAATGGATCATAGATACGGTATTTAAAAAATGAATCCATTCAAAGAGCTAGAATAAAACAGTTAAATACCTTTGTAAATTGGAAACAGAAAAGACTTTTCTAATTATTCATAAAAGCCTAGAAAACATGAAAGATAGAGTGATAATTTTCAGTTATGAAAGGGAAAAAAAAATCTAAAACTTCCGCATGGCAAAAAACACTGTTAGCTAAGCCAAATGATTAAGTGACAAGAAGAAAAAAAATATGCTTAACTGGTATCACAAAAGGGCTTATTTTTCTAATATATAAAAACTTTGAAAAATGTTAGGGAAAAACCCAACAATTCAAGAGCAGGCAAAAGATATGAATAGTTCACAGAAAAGAATACAAATGACTCTGAAACATGAAAAGATGCTCAGTCTGAAAACTACTTTTAGATACCATTCATCACCTGTCAGCTTGTTATGAAACTTTGGATGTTTGCAACTGTAGGAGCGTTCATAGATTAAATTCAGTGTTGTAACTGTGGAAATGTATGAGAAAATGTGAGTTTTTATGATAGAAGTTCTCCAAACCAGCTGCTCTTTGACAGTTTGCTAGATTAGGGTAGGTGTAACTATGATCTGCCTTAGTTGACTTTGAGTACAGATTAGTTAATGAGTATGAAACCGATAAGCAGTGCCAGTAACTTTAGATAATAGGACTTCTGCATTCTTTGGGCTAACCTAGTGATAAAACTAAGCTTTTTAAAACTAAGCCTCAGGCCAGGAAGTGGCAAAGAGCTTAAGGTGGCCAGATCCCTTATAGCTGACTGTGGAATTTGAGTCCCATATCTGGTGACTTGAAAAATACACCAGGCATGTGTGCATATGTGCCTAAAATCCCAGGAGGAGAATTGAAAGAACTGTGGCATGGCCATACCCCCTGGAGGGTGATTTTTCATTCTTTCTCTCTCTCTCTCTCTCTCACATGAGCACATGCCCCCATAAGCAAAAACAAAGCATTGCTCTCTGAAAAAAAAACCAACAAAAAAAAAGGGACCAGCAGTTAGCGTAATGGCTATGTCGCTGGACTCCCACGTAGTCG